TTATACAAATAATAAAAATGAAATATGAAAAAAACCTGGATATCGACAACAGGCCAGAACGGGATTCGAACCCTTGACCTATGATGAAAACCTTTACGGTAGCCCAAAACAAAAAAGGGACCTGACCAGTAGTAGTTCCCGCTGGCCCAGCCTGAGAATGGCTATATCCAAAACGAAATTAATTCATGAACTGTTCAACAAGTATACCCTCAAAAAAGTCATTCTATTCAGCTTAATGGAAATGAGAACGGGTAGCAAAAATACGTTTTGATTTTTCCATTGATACATAACGTATGTAAAGTCGGTGATACATCTAAAGTAGGTTTTTATTCGTAAGGCGTTTTATATTTCTATACTCAATTTGTGAGACTGTTCAATGTTGTTTTTTCTCTTTTTGTTTCTGTTGTTGTAATGCTACTATTATACATATCATTTGATACCCAGTTGTGCCATTTTTGTAAATCTGATGTATATATTTGAGGAAAGGGCGTAAATAATGTTGTAATAACTTGTGCCCAATCCTGTTGTCACTTTTTTGGCAAAAAATATGTTTAAACAATCTAAAGTTGAACAAGCTCTCTGAAAGATGGTACAGTCAAACCTCGCTATACTACCAAATTGGCGTTGTAAAGGGGTTAAGCGATAAATTGAGGGAAGCATAGAAAAGAATTATTAAGAAAACAATAAAAAGGGACATTGAGAAATAAACGAGGGACATTATATCGAAATTTTACTGTCACCCAAATTATTCAACCAACTCCCTGATAAATTATATTTAAAGTTAAATCAAATTAAACATCGGGATTCAGATATATACAGAATGCAGCGAACTGACATATCATCTATAATGTATATGTATATAACTTTAGATCCGGTGGTCGTTTACTACCCGCAGAGAGACATACCGACCTCAGTCATGTAAGTTAATGCCCCGGTTACATGTTTACCGGTATATCAATTTAAAAACGATAAAACTTGTGACCGTGATTAATACATGGACTTTTTTATATTTATAAAATGTCCTTTCGTAACATAAAATGTTGTTATGAAAAGCCATACGTGTATTATAAATATTACAACGTGTCTAGCTAATTTATAATATCGCAGAATGTTATGAAATGGCACATCATTTAAAGTTCATTGATCAATCTACCATGAAGGTCAACATTATCACGGGAATGTGTTTAGGGTTTAACATGGTCACATTCACCTTGATTTGAAGTTGAATGCCTCTCGACAAATAATCAGAAATAAGGTTTTCGTGTCATGTGTATGTGAACGAAAAGACATGTCCTTTCTACGGTGGCTTATTTATAGTAATTTCGTAGATTCGTCTTTTCGCCCGAAAAGACGAGATATAGTAAGTTTTAATTCTTGTCGTAACAACGAGACTTCATGTTACTTGTAGTTACTTTTCGTCTTTTCGGATGAAAAAGATGAAACGACGACAATTAAAGTAGTAAATTGCTTCTACTTTTCGCCCCAAAAAGACGATACAAACGACCATTTCCGGAGCGAAAAGACGAAATAGATTTAAGTTATTTAATTATCGTCAATATATTCAAATTATGTATCTGGATTCCAATTTTTACTTTAACAGGGTCTTTAAATATGATGTCAGGGGATTGAAATTCAGTGTGATTATATTCCGTTTAGAGGACTTGTTGAACATCAATCTAACGAGAGTTATCGCGCCAGCTCTTTGTAAAGCGAATATTAACACATTGGAGTTCGATTTCTGGAAAATGAAAGACGTTTCTCTGTAAAAATTTAAAGGTCGTTAGAAATCAATCAATTGTTGCTTGGTCACTATAATTAAGTCAAACATATAAAAAGCAGAGGTTTCTCGGTAAAGCGAGTCTCTTCGAGTATCCTCTGACATTTACACCAGCCCGAAGACAAACCTATATAGTTCCCTATCACCCGATCTGACAGCCCAGAGACAAACCGAGTATACTGCGACCCGAACACCAACCTAGAGACAACCCGAAGGTATTGGATCAGAAGACTATGGTAAAACGCACTTCAAAACAAAATAATAATAATAATGATAATATTTTGTGTATATAGGTAAATCGTACTAGACTACTTAACTAAAATACTGTAACTAAATGGTTCATTTAGTTACAGTATTTTAGCTGTGATATTGATCGAAGTGTTCTCTCTTAGTTCTATTAAATCATCTCATAATACTCTTAATATACACGTGTTTGCTATGACTAAACCCTCACTAAAACATGTGTACGTTTCAAATGTGAATTTGATAAATTAACCAAATTCAAATTGCTATTTTAATATACATTTGACAGGTTTCGTAGAGCAGAACTCTTTTGAACTTGAGATGCATGTTGACTAAGGTAGTATGTACCCTTAACTCATAAAAAATTACCGGTAACAAGCTTGATCATTTTATTCGCTTTATTTTTTTCATTTTTGAAAAGAAAAATCCGAATTAATAAACAAGTCAGTCCTGGTGTTAACTACATATGTACAGCATTTGAGTACGATTTGATATGACAGTATATCATTCACCCTGTGACAGCGTAAGGGGCACCCACCAGAACTGATCCCTATCGATCCATTTAACAGGGCTTCATTATATCCCGCGTGTGAGCGAGTACTGCCGGCTGTGGTCTTCCCCTCCAGGAGAATGGGTACAATAAGCGCCATTTGACCGTCGGTTTGCCTCCCAAAATGACGTACACTATTATCTATCTATCGAGTTAGCCACATTAACTACGGTATTTGCGTTGCATAAAAGTCAAAGAATTTCTCAAGATTGAAATATAATTACAGCTCCTTCGAAACCAATGACATTTGAAATTATATATTATCGTTTATGCAAATCCGTTGAGGATTAAATTGTTGTTATGGGGTGATTTTAGTAAGCAAATAGTTCATTTACGCTAAAACGTATACAACGAGAAGAAAGACGTATATTTTGGTGCTCGGTGAGGCAAACTCGCTTACAAATCGATGCAAATCACTTCATGTTGGTTGCTTGCTTTTATTTGGTTGTATCAAAACCTTATCTGACCTTCTTGAAAAGGAAATGTACATAACAAAACCTAATACGTTTATTGTAAGTAACTAGGTATCGCTCTGTAAAAGAAAGCAAACCGATATCAAATACGCAACTCCCTGACGAAACTATTTAGCAAGGATTGAAACTTTTGAATATTCATAAGGCTAGAAACACGTCAGGTGTATGTATTATATATCAATAAAATTAAATGAACCACGGAATATAAACCAGGTAAACAGACAGCTATCCTACTATCACAGAGCGCGCATAGCTCGCGCAAAATGTGGAAACACAGAGGATTATTTACTCTATTGGTTTTAGTTGTTAATCTNGAAAGGGGAAGTTTCAGCGGAAAGGGGAAGTTTCAGCAGAAAAGGGAAGTTTCAGCGGAAAGGGGAAGTTTCAGCAGAAAGGGGAAGTTTCAGCGGACCAAGGGGAAATTTCACAGAAAAGGGGAAGTCCTACCGGGAATGGGGAAATAAAACTTTTTTGGGGAAGTTTCATCGAAAATGGGGAAGTTTCATCGAAAATGGGGAAGTTTCATCGAAAATAGGGTAATTACTACCCCCTTTGCGAGGAAACTTCCCTAAAACTATTCTCTAGTGAGCTAATTAAGTCAAGCAAGCGGGTCTCTTCGAGTATCCTCTGACATTTACACCAGCCCGAAGACAAACCTATATAGTTCCCTATCACCCGATCTGACAGCCCAGAGACGAACCGAGTATACTGCGACCCGAACACCAACCTAGAGACAACCCGAAGGTATTGGATCAGAAGACTATGGTAAAACGCACTTCAAAACAAAATAATAATAATAATGATAATATTTTGTGTATATAGGTAAATCGTACTAGACTACTTAACTAAAATACTGTAACTAAATGGTTCATTTAGTTACAGTATTTTAGCTGTGATATTGATCGAAGTGTTCTCTCTTAGTTCTATTCACATTATCTCATAATGCTCTTAATATACACATTTTTGCTATGACAAAACCCTCACTAAAACATGTGTACGTTTCAAATGTGAATTTGATAAATTAACCAAATTCAAATTGCTATTTTAATATACATTTGACAGGTTTCGTAGAGCAGAACTCTTTTGAACTTGAGATGCATGTTGACTAAGGTAGTATGTACCCTTAACTCATAAAAAATTACCGGTAACAAGCTTGATCATTTTTATTCGCTTCATTTTTTCATTTTTGAAAAGAAAAATCCGAATTAATAAACAAGTCAGTCCTGGTGTTAACTACATATGTACAGCATTAAGTACGATTTGATATGACAGTATATCATTCACCCTGTGACAGCGTAAGGGGCACCCACCAGAACTGATCCCTATCGATCCATTTAACAGGGCTTCATTATATCCCGCGTGTGAGCGAGTACTGCCGGCTGTGGTCTTCCCCTCTAGGAGAATGGGTACAATAAGCGCCATTTGACCGTCGGTTTGCCTCCCAAAATGACGTACACTATTATCTATCTATCGAGTTAGCCACATTAACTACGGTATTTGCGTTGCATAAAAGTGAAAGAATTTCTCAAGATTGAAATATAATTACAGCTCCTTCGAAACCAATGACATTTGAAATTATATATTATCGTTTATGCAAATCCGTTGAGGATTAAATTGTTGTTATGGGGTGATTTTAGTAAGCAAATAGTTCATTTACGCTAAAACGTATACAACGAGAAGAAAGACGTATATTTTGGTGCTCGGTGAGGCAAACTCGCTTACAAATCGATGCAAATCACTTCATGTTGGTCGCTTGCTTTTATTTGGTTGTATCAAAACCTTATCTGACCTTCTTGAAAAGGAAATGTACATAACAAAACCTAATACGTTTATTGTAAGTAACTAGGTATCGCTCTGTAAGAGAAAGCAAACCGATATCAAATACGCAACTCCCTGACGAAACTATTTAGTAAGGATTGAAACTTTCGAATATTCATAAGGCTAGAAACACGTCAGGTGTATGTATTATATATCAATAAAATTAAATGAACCACGGAATATAAACCAGGTAAACAGACAGCTATCCTACTATCACAGAGCGCGCATAGCTCGCGCAAAATGTGGAAACACAGAGGATTATTTACTCTATTGGTTTTAGTTGTTAATCTGCCGAAAACAGGTAAGACATTATTTTTCTTATTAATTCGATGGAGATAATTATCGAGAGAATTCATGGTTTACAATTCCTTTCTATATAGAAATTCACTTTTTTCGATAATGAAAAAAATAATTCAACATTTTTTTTCTTCTCACATTTGTACTTGTAATTGACTCGTAGCATTCCTAGTTGGAATTCAAACTTTTAACGGATTTTGTTTGCGAGAAAAATCGACTTCAGTATAAATCAAATGATCACAGACATATCAAAATATATAAAAAAATAAATAAATTACAAACTAAAAGCTAACGAAAAAAGGACAACAATAGGAAAGTTAAAAAATAAATAAAAAACGAACAGTGGAAAACATCTTATATCCAATGCATTGAATATTTATTTTGCAGGTTCATAAATTGCATATTTCACATATTAGCTGCTATTTGTAATGTGGTTTGATTTAAGAGAGTTGCGCCGTTAATTTATCCAAGTGAAAGACAGAAAATGGCCTTTTTACGTCTTATAGAAAGAGGTACGATGGCCAACACAATTTTCACAGTAAAAAAAGTACAACAAGTAAATTCATGACAGTGAACAAAGGTAAAGAGTAAGACTATAAAACGAATAACGACAGTAAACACAAGTACGACAGTAAACACAGGTACAACAGTAAACACGGGAACGACAGTAAACACAGGTACAACAGTAAACACATGTACAACAGTAAACACATTTATGACAGTAAACACAGTTACAACAGTAAACACATGTACAACAGTAAACACAGTTACAACAGTAAACACAGGTACAACAGTAAACACGGGTACAACAGTAAACACAGGAACAGCAGTAAAAACAGGTACGACAGTAAACACGGGTACAATAGTTAACACAGGTACAACAGTAAACACAGGTACAACAGTTAACACAGGTACGACAGTAAACACAGGTACAACAGTTAACACAGGTACAACAGTAAACACGGGTACAACAGTAAACACATGTACAACAGTAAACACAGATACAACAATAAACACAGGTACAACAGTAAACACAGACACAACAGTAAACACAGGTACGACACTAAACACAGGTACGACAGTAAACACAGATACAACAATAAACACAGGTACAACAGTAAACACAGGTACGACAGTAAACACATGTACGACAGTAAACACAGGTACGACAGTAAACACAGGTACAACAGTAAACACAGGTACAACAGTAAACACAGGTATAACAGTAAACCCAGGTATAACAGAAAACACGGGTACAACAGTAAACACAGGAACGACACTAAACACAGGTACGACAGTAAACACAGATACAACAGTAAACACAGATACAACAGTAAACACAGATACAACAGTAAACACAGGTACAACAGTAAACACAGATACAACAGTAAACACAGGTACAACAGTAAACACTGGTACAACAGTAAACACAGACACAACAGTAAACACAGACACAACAGTAAACACATGTACAACATTAAACACGGGTACAATAGTAAACACATGTACAACAGTAAACACAGGTACAACAGTAAACACATATACAATAGTAAACACATATACAACAGTAAACACATATACAACAGTAAACACATGTACAACAGTAAACACATGTACAACAGTAAACACAGGTACAACAGTAAACACAGGTACAACAGTAAACACAGGTACAACAGTAAACACAGGTACAACAGTAAACACATATACAACAGTAAACACAGGTACAACAGTAAACACAGGTACAACAGTAAACACAGGTACAACAGTAAACACAGGTACAACAGTAAACACAGGTACAACAGTAAACACAGGTACAACAGTAAACACAGGTACAACAGTAAACACAGGTACAACAGTAAACACAGGTACAACAGTAAACACAGGTACAACAGTAAACACAGGTACAACAGTAAACACAGGTACAACAGTAAACACAGGTACAACAGTAAACACAGGTACAACAGTAAACACAGGTACAACAGTAAACACAGGTACAACAGTAAACACAGGTACAACAGTAAACACAGGTACAACAGTAAACACAGGTACAACAGTAAACACAGGTACAACAGTAAACACAGGTACAACAGTAAACACAGGTACAACAGTAAACACAGGTACAACAGTAAACACAGGTACAACAGTAAACACAGGTACAACAGTAAACACAGGTACAACAGTAAACACAGGTACAACAGTAAACACAGGTACAACAGTAAACACAGGTACAACAGTAAACACAGGTACAACAGTAAACACAGGTACAACAGTAAACACAGGTACAACAGTAAACACAGGTACAACAGTAAACACAGGTACAACAGTAAACACAGGTACAACAGTAAACACAGGTACAACAGTAAACACAGGTACAACAGTAAACACAGGTACAACAGTAAACACAGGTACAACAGTAAACACAGGTACAACAGTAAACACAGGTACAACAGTAAACACAGGTACAACAGTAAACACAGGTACAACAGTAAACACAGGTACAACAGTAAACACAGGTACAACAGTAAACACAGGTACAACAGTAAACACAGGTACAACAGTAAACACAGGTACAACAGTAAACACAGGTACAACAGTAAACACAGGTACAACAGTAAACACAGGTACAACAGTAAACACAGGTACAACAGTAAACACAGGTACAACAGTAAACACAGGTACGACAGTAAACACAGGTACGACAGTAAACACAGGTACAACAGTAAACACAGGTACAACAGTAAACACAGGTACAACAGTAAACACAGGTACAACAGTAAACACAGGTACAACAGTAAACACAGGTACAACAGTAAACACAGGTACAACAGTAAACACAGGTACAACAGTAAACACAGGTACAACAGTAAACACAGGTACAACAGTAAACACAGGTACAACAGTAAACACAGGTACAACAGTAAACACAGGTACAACAGTAAACACAGGTACAACAGTAAACACAGGTACAACAGTAAACACAGGTACAACAGTAAACACAGGTACAACAGTAAACACAGGTACAACAGTAAACACAGGTACAACAGTAAACACAGGTACAACAGTAAACACAGGTACAACAGTAAACACAGGTACAACAGTAAACACAGGTACAACAGTAAACACAGGTACAACAGTAAACACAGGTACAACAGTAAACACAGGTACAACAGTAAACACAGGTACAACAGTAAACACAGGTACAACAGTAAACACAGGTACAACAGTAAACACAGGTACAACAGTAAACACAGGTACAACAGTAAACACAGGTACAACAGTAAACACAGGTACAACAGTAAACACAGGTACAACAGTAAACACAGGTACAACAGTAAACACAGGTACAACAGTAAACACAGGTACAACAGTAAACACAGGTACAACAGTAAACACAGGTACAACAGTAAACACAGGTACAACAGTAAACACAGGTACAACAGTAAACACAGGTACAACAGTAAACACAGGTACAACAGTAAACACAGGTACAACAGTAAACACAGGTACAACAGTAAACACAGGTACAACAGTAAACACAGGTACAACAGTAAACACAGGTACAACAGTAAACACAGGTACAACAGTAAACACAGGTACAACAGTAAACACAGGTACAACAGTAAACACAGGTACAACAGTAAACACAGGTACAACAGTAAACACAGGTACAACAGTAAACACAGGTACAACAGTAAACACAGGTACAACAGTAAACACAGGTACAACAGTAAACACAGGTACAACAGTAAACACAGGTACAACAGTAAACACAGGTACAACAGTAAACACAGGTACAACAGTAAACACAGGTACAACAGTAAACACAGGTACAACAGTAAACACAGGTACAACAGTAAACACAGGTACAACAGTAAACACAGGTACAACAGTAAACACAGGTACAACAGTAAACACAGGTACAACAGTAAACACAGGTACAACAGTAAACACAGGTACAACAGTAAACACAGGTACAACAGTAAACACAGGTACAACAGTAAACACAGGTACAACAGTAAACACAGGTACAACAGTAAACACAGGTACAACAGTAAACACAGGTACAACAGTAAACACAGGTACAACAGTAAACACAGGTACAACAGTAAACACAGGTACAACAGTAAACACAGGTACAACAGTAAACACAGGTACAACAGTAAACACAGGTACAACAGTAAACACAGGTACAACAGTAAACACAGGTACAACAGTAAACACAGGTACAACAGTAAACACAGGTACAACAGTAAACACAGGTACAACAGTAAACACAGGTACAACAGTAAACACAGGTACAACAGTAAACACAGGTACAACAGTAAACACAGGTACAACAGTAAACACAGGTACAACAGTAAACACAGGTACAACAGTAAACACAGGTACAACAGTAAACACAGGTACAACAGTAAACACAGGTACAACAGTAAACACAGGTACAACAGTAAACACAGGTACAACAGTAAACACAGGTACAACAGTAAACACAGGTACAACAGTAAACACAGGTACAACAGTAAACACAGGTACAACAGTAAACACAGGTACAACAGTAAACACAGGTACAACAGTAAACACAGGTACAACAGTAAACACAGGTACAACAGTAAACACAGGTACAACAGTAAACACAGGTACAACAGTAAACACAGGTACAACAGTAAACACAGGTACAACAGTAAACACAGGTACAACAGTAAACACAGGTACAACAGTAAACACAGGTACAACAGTAAACACAGGTACAACAGTAAACACAGGTACAACAGTAAACACAGGTACAACAGTAAACACAGGTACAACAGTAAACACAGGTACAACAGTAAACACAGGTACAACAGTAAACACAGGTACAACAGTAAACACAGGTACAACAGTAAACACAGGTACAACAGTAAACACAGGTACAACAGTAAACACAGGTACAACAGTAAACACAGGTACAACAGTAAACACAGGTACAACAGTAAACACAGGTACAACAGTAAACACAGGTACAAC